GCCCCTCCTCTCAACCTCCAGCCCGGACGACGACCTAAATTTCATGACATCCAGCATGGGTCGCCCTCAGCCTGCGCAGCAGCCCCCCGCTGGTGCTGTTCAGGTGTCGACACAGCATGAGCGCCTGATTCTCGAGCTGCTGCCCTTCAAAGACCTGGGACAGTTCCACGAGTGAGTGTTTGCCAAAAACCCCTCCATTCCACGCTCCCCGAGGCTGACGGCTAATTATCCAGGTGGCTGAGCAGCATCTACGTCCGCGGCTCCTGGAACGAGTTTCTCGCCGACTTCCTCGCCAACAATCCTCGGGCCCCCGAACTCGACAAGACCAAGACGGCCCAGAAGGTCAAGGACGCCATCAACTCGCGCAGCACCCAATTCCTGATGTACCACCCGGATAAGAGCGCCTGGTCTGCCGAGGACCACCACGTCCGCTTCATCGTCACCGTCATTCAGGATAACATGCTGAGGGGCCTTTGGTCGGAGAGCGACTGGAAGAAGAAGAGTCTCGACATCGCAAAGGCCGTTTACGAGGTTCTCGCCTTTCTGAGGGCCACCACATTTCATCCCGATGCGAGTCCCCCGCTGTACGAGGCGTAGTGGGCTTGGTGCGGCCGAGGGATCCGTCGCCTGGTGTCGTTCCTTCAAGACCACCAGGAAACAATCGATGACTGGGTGATTGGATGCTGCCATGCATAGCGGCTATTGCTGTTGGTGGCATGCTCGGTGTTGTCATGGCTCGTTTCAGAAACGATCTCATGGGCGATCTCATGAGGGGTCTTGACATGGCTCTTTGCTTCATTCTCCTCAAGATCACGGAGGACGCCGAGGTCGTACAGGCTTATACATTTGCCGCAGCCTAGTCAGGCTGAGCGCCGTGTTAGTGGTCATCTAGATTGTGAGACGAGGATACCAATCTCAAAGCCCTTCCGTGGGAATGTCAGCCTTTCCACATCCATGGCCTGTTTTAACACAGTCCATGGTCATACGAAAACCCTCCGTTGATGGCCTGGGTCAACCCATTCAAATATGTCTAATCGTCCGGAAAGGTAGATAGTCCCGGTCAGGATACGATGAAAGCTCGACAAGCAAGCCAGCGAGCTCTCCTCAAACCCGGCTGTGACCGGGGTGCTGCCATAACCTGCATCACCGGTCGTCCCAGTCTGCTCTCACCTCCTACCATCATCACCATCATCACCATGAACAATCTCACTCACCAAAAAAGCACCTGCGAACGGGTGGGAGTTTCGGAGTACGATCCGGTCTACTCTATCCCCCATTCCCCACAATTCCGCGCTCACTCACGACTCCCTATCGGGCCCGTCCCTGCCAAACCGCGCAGCCCCCGCACACAAATCCCCGATCCGATCGGCGGAGGTCGGCAGAGTGAGCGGCGGGGAGCGCCCTGGGGCAAGAGAGAGATCGGTCGGATCATCCGAGAGTCTTCCAAATTCAGATCAGCCGGCTGGATGAAGGCAGCACGATCGAACGATGCTGCGTGGCATTCTCCACAACTGATGAACCCCAGGGTAGCAGCAGCAGCAGAAAAACAAGACATGTTTCGCTGCGGTAGAGACTCTCCGCCAACACACCATGCGCCTTACCTCCGTACCTTAACCTACTGTGTACCTACTGCATCCATTTTGATCTTGTTGGTCAGGATGAGGCCATCCACCATCCATCATCTCGATGTCGTCGCCGGGCACACGTGGGGTGAATCGTTCGACAGCCGACACCCCGGGGATTACAGATACGGATACGGGCACAATTGGGGTATTGCGGTACGGTACTGACGGGGTATAGGTAGAAAAAAAACAGGGCTTGTCACCAACCCACCCCCAAACCTCCCCCTACTGTGCACAGTAATGTCAACAACAACCCGGTTGGCGAGGTCCCCATACCAAGCCTTTGTTCGGTACGGATGCAGACAGGACAGCACGATGCTACCCCTAACTAACTTCGGGGTTGGTGGGCGAGGTGGTATCCAGAATGGGTCGTATTCTTTTGGTGTGAGTGTGTATCGTATTGTATTGTACAAATCGGTACCGGTATGCCCAGCAATATCCGTACCGAAGACGCCGATGTGGTATTGGCGGCCAAGTCGGAGCTTGGTTAATGATACCGTGGGAATGCATCTGCACGCTGACAGATGGGGGGCAGGGCCAGCCTTCGAGGGGGCGGCCGGGGAAGCAAGAGCCTGCATATCCGCTGTATGTCATTTATGCGGGCGGACGATTGGGGCCGCGACGTTACAGCGGCTGCCGCCTTGACATGTCGGGGAGACTGGGCCGGTTTTGTATTGTGTGTGTGTGTGTGGACGGAACAGGGTCCGCATGAAGAAATCCATGAAGACGAACTATGATCTCCGGGGACGACGGGGCTGATTGGCAGGTTGAACGTTGGGGTGCAGAGCCGTGGATCACGGTGAAGTTCGGTCGGTCTGGGTGATCCCCGCAGAATCTCGATCTCGAACAAGCGAGATCGAGTTATGTACTCCGTATCAACAACTAGTTAGAGCAACGACGGCACGCAAGCCCCGCTAGCGATCGGCTTGCGGCACCTCCTGGCGGCCTGAAATCGGTTCGACCCTCACCGGCTGCAGCGCCCACTCTTTTCGCTTCTCCTCAGCGGTCTTACCACCCAGCACCGTACCATAGTAGTTCCTGGGCGTCGCGGCTGCGGCCTTGACCGATCCTTCATCTAAAATTTCCGATTGATTGCCATTGCATCCGCCCGCCCCGGGGAAGCTAGGCCATACCGGTGTACATACCAGGTACGGTTCCGGGCGCCGCTTGAGCGTCCTTCTGGAACATCCCTCTGCACTGCTACCCACCCTTCAGAACGGCCCCTTGAAGCTGTGACATAACGAATCGCTCCCATTTGTGCGAGAGACACGGCGATGATGCAAACACCTGGATGGCGGGACTGATTGGAGTCGTCCAGTCCGAGAGCGATATATCGGGAGCTGTCTGGGCGGGGGTGAACGCATCCAAGCGAAGGCATGGGCTCGGGGAATTCGCAAGGCTGCCTGCCCAGTTGAGCTTCACTGAAGCCACACACTTGGCCCTCTCCATTTCCGCGGCCGCATCCGACGACCTGCCGAGCATCTGAACCGATCAATACCGCTCACCGATGGGCTTCGGGGCAACCATCGGGAGGTTGTCGAATTCCATATGGAGGGTGATCCGCCGACGATTGAACGGGAAGGTTGTTGCAGTTGGTCTGAGCGAGTCCGGCATGAGCCCCGAGTCGCTTCAGGGGCTCGGCCCGCGGCCTGGCCGGCTCGCGTCATCGGTTAGGTCCCCATCATGCTCTAGCCCTTGTGCTTCATCTCCGGGGGGATTGAAAGGCTGGTCATCAGTTGCCTTGGCCTCGTCTTCGCTTTCCGGCTCCCGGACGAGCAAAAGGTCCTCGCTCCCCTGCCACTGTGACGGCATAGGTGGCAGCTCCTCGTCATCATCCCAGCCGTAGTCCTCATCGTCGCTGTCGGCGATCTCAAAGTCGGTATCCCCAAGCTTCCGCTTCGGCGCCGGGGTAAAAGTGAGCGTTGCCGACTGCTGGGTATTGTCGTACTCGACCGGAACCAGGCCGCGCTGCGTCGGTCAGCAACTAGCCGGGCAATCTCGCAAGCCTTGCTGTCGCTCACCTCTTCCACCCTAAAGGCGTAGACTTGATCATAAGCAGGGGCCATCCCCTTTCCATTCAGCTTCTGGATCGCCACCAGGTGAAGCCCGGGGGACTCGGAACCAGCACGAAGCCAGTCGCGGAACAAGACGAGCCTAGTCGACATCCCCTGCTCCCAGACGTTGGCGTTGATGGCCGGGATCAGGGTCGCACCGCGTTCGGCCTGCATCTTGGTGGCACACTGCGTGAGAATGACAACGGCCAGGTCCCGCGTCGCCGCAAGCTTCTGGAGGCTGCTGACGATGTATTGAAGTACCTGCTGCCGCCGTGCCGAGGCCGAAGGTGCTTGACGTCAAGGTCAGTCTCGAGTCACGATCTGTCCAGGTTGGGCCGTACCTTTGCTGCCCCTGATGGCATCCGTGGCCGGGCGTGTTTCAGGTAGCTTCGGGAAAGCATGGTTGACCAGGACGGAGAGCGAGTCGATGACTATGAGCGCGGCCCCTTGTGGGATGCAGCTTGCGGTAGGTCTGCAGAGTAGCGCAATCAAATGCGGCAGGCTCGGGCATGTGTAGTGCGTGAAGCCGGTTAAGTGATCGACGCCCGCATCCCCGTCCGCTGTGGAGACAGCAGCACGCAGACGCTCGATAGGCAAGCGATGGAATCCGTCTGCGATCGGGGGGTGAGCAATCCGCTGGCCGAGAAATGCAGGGAACACAGGCTGGACGGACCTACCCAGACCACCGGGCGGCCTTCGCCGAGACAGCGTGAAGCTAGCTGGACGCTGAAGCCAGATCAGCAGCGGTACGGTATTGATCGAGCCTGGAGCTTGCAGCATACCCAAACGCAGTCTTCCCTACACCTGGCGGGCCCCAGATCTCGGTCACATGGCCCTTCTGAACTCCCGCTGCATGGGCCGCGTCCTCCAGAGCGGAGCCGAGGGCGGCATTAAGGGACGGAAGGCCCGTTGCGATGAAGTTGCTGTCGCTCCCTTCCAGCTCCTGCAAAGCCTGCGCAGCCGACACGGTCGGAAGCCGATCTCGCGGGGAGTCAGTATGTTCCCGTCTTGATGTGGGTGTCACTACGAGACTTACGCGTTGACGGCAGATCGAAACTCGAGATGTCGTGGCCGTGGATTGCGTGATATTCCATCGTTCTTCTCCTCCATTACTCTTGCCTGCCTGCGGGAATGATTGCCAGAGTGCCGGGCGGTTCCCCGCGCCGTCGGTGATTGTTGGGTTGGGGTTTGTGGGAGTCGGTTTGAGATTCTGAAGTCGTCATGCTACCTAATCGCTTTCTGCAAAGGAAATGGGGGTTAGGGTCTGCTGTCAAAATATCAAAGTCAGCAGAGCAAGAAGACTTTGCAGCAAAAGTTAAAGCATTGCGGTTTGTGTGGATCGAACACACGACCTTCAGATTGAGTTACCGAAGTTTTTACTTCAGTCTGACGCTCTCCCAACTGAGCTAAACCCGCAAGTCCACGTATCACGTTTATGTAAAATTTATAAAGGTGCTACCGGGGAACATGCAGCCCAGGTAATGAACGAGCCGATATGCGACTGGAAGAAGCCTGAAATGAAACATCAACACCCAAAGGACAAACAAGATCTGGAGTTTCAACCATCAAGTAGCATGGCGGTATGCCCATCCTCGTATCTCATCGCAAGCCAGACCCGCAACTCATCACACTCAGCGCCTAGTTACCACCAGTCTGACGCTCTCCTTGACTGAGCGAAGATAAACCGGCTTGGTGAGCTCTACCAAACTCAGATGAGCTCATGTAATCCAGAAGCTTCGGAACTCACGAACAAGGCTGGAGGCGCTTGGCTTGGAAGCCGTGATGTCATGCCGTCTGTCAGTACCTATTACCTAGAGAACGAAGTCGAACCAGACAGACCTCGGGTGGTGATGAACCCCCAGGAACAGTCCCACTCCGACAGTGCTCGCTGATGAAGAGCCCACTGCTCATCAAAACAAGGCCGCGTGATACCTCATGATCGTCACATTCGTCACATTCACGAAGTCTGCAATCCCCCGGCAACCCGAACTATCCCCGCTGATGAACATGCCCACTTCGACCGTGAGGCTACCCCTTGCGGCCTTCCCCGCAAGCCACCAACACGACGAAAACGGCAGGTTGGAGATCCTCACATGCAAATCCTCCCCAGTCTCTCATTCCCGATCCAGCAGCGGGCGGATGGACTGCTGGCGCGCATTCGGTAGAGTCGCATTGCCGAACCCCGGGATCGACGGGCCCTTGCTTTGCCGAGGGTACCGTAGAAGGATCCTTCTCTCCGGCCCAGGATCACATTGTTGTGGGAGAACGTCGCTGGCCATGCGCCGGCGCTCAGACCAGCATGCTTCCTCGTCAGCACGAAATAATCTCGGGCGGCTCTCATCAGAGCCAGCTTCGACCTATCCACATGGCAGCTTCGGCGCTGGCTGAAGTTCCTCGACAGAGACAACGCTATCGCCGGGTCGGCGTCGCGAGGCGAGGCCCAACAGTCTCAACAGCCGGCAGCAACATCCACACGGGGCGGGCGCGGAGATCAGGGGTGGCATCCGTACCTGATTTCCCCTATCTCTCGGGTAAAGGCGAATGGCGATGGATGGGATCCATTTCCCTCTTTCGCCATGCCGCAACAGGAGTCATCCACTTGGTATTTGGACCTCTCCCATGTGATCGCAGGGGCAGCTGCTGGTTCGCCCGCACATGCCAATCTCGGGGTAACTAACGTTAATGTGAACGTAGGGCCGAGAAAAGCTGGGGATCGCGTGGGGGCGCACACTCTTCAGCAGAGGTCCAAAGCGCGGATCCGCCAGATGAGAGAACCGGCCCAATCCAAACACCTTGCGCAAAGTCCTTCCAAGAAGGTGCGCCCAGGAATCCAAAACTCTGGCCGTCCGCGCTGGTCTCGGCAGATCGCTCGTCCCTCGGCCATAGGAAATAGAACGGGAGTATCCCGCGAAGAAAAGAGAATGCTTTACCAGAGTTCCGCACTCCTCCCACGACTCTGAATCGCGGCGGTGTGGTGTGTTTTTTTTTTTGCTCTCAAAGTTGTCAAGGAGTCCCAGGCTCTGGGGCAGCTCTTCCGGCTCGGGCCCCCACAAGCTGCCACAGCTGTCACCGCACCAGGCTGCTTGTTGATGGCACGTTTCAACAACAGCCGAGCTGTATCCGTACCGGGATCTTGATTGCGGCGCTACGCCGGCGCTAGGGAAAATATCTCGCTGTGGAGCGCAGCCGCCCGGAGCAATGCGAAGACGGGAGGTACCCAGACTGGTGGATCGATCTCCGTTGCATGATTTAGCCGCGCCATCAGCGTTGGGCTCAGGCCAGCGAGCGGCAGGACACCGGCCGACGACGGGAACACCCAGGCAAAGAAGCTGCATTGGTGAAGTGTCAAAGATGATGGCGTATCCGTCCGGCCGTTGGCGTTCTCAGAGCGTACGAATACCACTCGCTGCCTTTTTTTTGTGTGTGTTTTGCCGACTCTTTGCCCTGGCGGATCCTCGGTCTTTCTGTGGACCGCGGCAGTTGCCGCCTTCTCGAAGTTCTGACTCGTCAGATTCATCCTGGGCATGCCGCTCGCGCTTTCGGGTCTGGGCTGGGAGGGGGAAGGCGGCGGAAAATTGAAAATTTGTGCGGTGTTCCTCATCAGCTGGCCTGCAAGGTGCATTTTGCTTGTGTTCGTCCGGCTCGTTTCTGGCTGGAAGTTTTCTTTGCTTTTCCCCCCCAGCGCATTGATGAGAACGATAGGTGCGGCAGAGCCGGGCCGAGGGGCCAGCGCACATACCCCGCCAATGCTGGGTCGTCGCGTTCCGGCTGAGTCAGAAGCAAGCGCGAGAGCTTTTCCTTGCCCCGTGCTCTGCGGAGAGGATCGCGAATGTTCTCGACCAGGCCCTTGTCATATCTGGGGACGGAAGGAAGGCGCCCCCGGGGCCCTGATTTCTGACACGTGGGGGAGGCCAAGAGAATTTTCCGGATCCCATACCGATTCTTTCCAGGCTGCGCAGCTTGCACAACTCATGACGAGCACATCTGGGCCGGTTCCGGGTAAAGGTATCGAACTTTTCATCAGCACTCCTCATATCCAGAAAATTCCGGCTTGCAAGCAGTTGCCAGTTTCGGCTCACGTACGGTGATGAGAGACGGCAGTTCACAATCCCGAACCCCAGTCTCTGACGCGGGACCGATGACGGAGGATTGCGCCCGTGCCGTCATCCCAACGCGGGCGGATGGAAGTGTTGAAACCGTGAAAGCTTTTCGAGAGACGATCTCCAGGTTGAAGAAGGTCGAGGCGTGTTACAAGCTGCACACCTGATACGGGCAAGTCTCAACAACCTCTAAGTGGTGGAGCGGCCTGTGCACTGCAACCTTGACGGCAACCCCCACGCAGCTTGGGGTGCAAGCGGACATGGACAAAATCGACATTACGGCACTCTCGTATCGATACAACTCGGTCCCGAAGAAGCCCCTGAAAATGGCGTCCTCGGTACGCTTCATCGAGCGCCGACTCTGGCCGCTGGTTCCCAAACGTCGGCCCTGAGTTCGGAGGATGCGGCGCGCTTATCTCTGGCATCGTGGTTGTTGAGGTACAGAGGCCGAGATTCGGTACCCCGGATCTTGGCTTGGCCTTCTCGGGGCGACGGTGACGCCATAAGGGACACCGCCAAATGCCCTCGCCGACGGGAAGCTCGGCCGAAGGGCTTGGTGAGAGCAGAAAGATCGCCGCAATGAGCCTGTCTGCCTGTTTACCAGCTCTGTGTGAGAGTGTCGAGGACTTGGACGGTATTTCTTATGTCTGCGGTCCCCGGGCTTGAACGACAGATATCAACAAGCGGCCGAGCCGAGCTGACGCTTCCCCACACTCCACAGATTGCGTCGACGATTCTTATCTCGTTCTCGGGCCACCCCCGACACTGCTCCAGACACATCTCCGTGCTAGATTGATATCGGAAGGAGGACAGCGCGGTAGAAGGTCGGAGACGAAGACCCTATCTGCTGCCCCGGATCCGACCCCGGATCCTGCAGCGTTTCAACGTTACCGTGCCCTCTGCTTGTGGCCTTCTTTTTAGCCAAGATCTGTCGGTCCGGCGCTCGGTGACAGGGCTGGCTGTGGAATCCTGATGAAAGAGCCAGGGAATCTTGTGCGAGCTGTGCATCCCCAGATGTGCAGCAGTCTAGCCCTCCTAGCGTACCGCTCTCCCCGGATTCCAAGAATCAGCCACTTCTTATCACACAAGTTTGGACCACAGATGGGTTCACCACAGGGTACCCGACATCTTGGCCATGCCACAAACTGGTCTTTCAGCTCCTCGCCAAACACTCATGACAGAAATCAGACAGATCAACTCAGAGCCAAGACGCATCTGAGCCCAACCAACTGTTCCACAGCTCAGCCACCGCCCACACCGCCCCGGATTGCGCAGATGCTTTGTTCTGAAGAGGCAACGGATAGTTACCTGGCCTCGCCTAGGTACCTGCCCATAACAGTTGCGTCTCTGTGTGGAACTTCCGATGTCGTCTCGTAAGATGACAGTCCAGGGTGCTCGACGGGTCTTGTTGACGGCAACTGAATGCACCCTCGCCAGCGCATGTCGGCCAGCCCACGAAGGGAAAAGAGGGTGGGATCTGTGCCCCGCGGTTAGATATTAAAGGTGCAGAGTTTGCGAGAGTCTTCTTGGCTGTGAGCCTCTGAGACAGATGCGTAGGCGACGGCAAGGGCGCTTGTGAGTAATCGGGTCGAGCCCAAGCCGCGGCCCAGAGCTCACCAACTCGGGGCCCAATCGTGACCACCAGATGCGGTGAATCGCTGATGGAAATCACCGTCGCTCACGGTGCGCTGCAGTGAGGCAGTCAGCCCACCGAGTCTGACCTGCGACTTCGGGCCGCCTGTATCACGAGAAAACCCCACGCTTGGCCTCTCCCGGCGTTTTCTCTTTGGGAGAGGCACCCCACCCTGCCCTACACGTGCAGGCGTTCACACCACCGAGGGGCTGCAACGTAGATTTCGCAATATCGGAGCCTCTCTACCTCTCGTTGCACCTCTCTGATTCCCGCAGCAGCCAAGTCTTGACATACCACCACATCTAACTTGGCGGAGGGAGGGGCGCAGATATGCAGAAAACTGCAAGACAGAGCTCGTAAAGTGTCGCAGGCCGCAGGCAGGCGAGGTACGGTACGCTGTATTGTAGCCCGCGTACTGTACAGTACGGGGGACCCCTTCCAGCCAGGTACCGCTGACATCTGCTTTTTGTTTTTCCCCGAGATTTCCCCTGGCATCCAGCCCCTGCCCTGTCCCGGTCTCCTGCCCCAGACCCCGGCATCGTTTTTTTCACCCCACATCCGGCCGTGCAAACACCCCCTAGTGTCGGGCCGCCCGCGCCATTTAAAAAGTGCCGCTGCCCCCAAACAAGCCCCTCCGGTTTCTGTTGCTTTCCCTATGCAGCCCGACACTCTCACCAACGTCA